CCTCGGCGGAGCCCTCGCTGCCGGCTTCGCGCTTCCTCCGCTCGGTGCTCCTCTCCGTGTTCTGCTCTGGCCACACGGAGCTGGGAGCTGCTGTACCTGCTGCCGCCTCCCCTGCCGAACGGGAGGCGGCTCCCTGGTCTCCCCCCTCGGACTGGGGCCACCTGAGCAGGGCTTTTCCTCCGCCATCAGACTGCACCTTTCCAGGGGGCCGGGGTCTCCGCCCCATCCGTTTGGGAGCTGGGAGGGCAGAGGGTTGTGAACGCGGCCAGGCCAGCCGCAGCGGGGCCGCGGGGTCCGGGCTGTGTCGCTGTGGACGGGGTGTGCCTGGTGCCTCGTCTGCGAGGCCGGGAGCTCCGTGAGGCCGGCGGCGTCTCCCCGTTGGGACTGGAGCTCCCGGGGCCGGGACGGTCTCCGCCCTTAGCCTGGGAGCTCCTGGGGCTGGGCTGTGCCTCCGCCCTTGGCCTGGGAGCTCCCTGGATGGGTATCTGGGTATCGAGTCTTCCTTGTCGGCCTGGGCCTTGCAGGGCTGATCCTTCAGACCAGGGTCTCCTGGAGCGCTGGGCTGGGCCCCCCTCCCGTCAGCAGGCTCCCCAGACTGCTGTCTCTCTGCCATTAGAGTGGACTTTCTTGAGGGAGGACTGTTCATCCCCTATCGGACGGGGTAGCAGGACCCAGGGTGCCCAGGTCACCTTGTACCCTTCTTTCCTGGTTGAAGTGTTTGAGATGAAGGAGTGGGTTAAAGGGGGCTAAGCTAAGTGAGAAGGGGAATCAGGAAGGACTTGGGTCACTGGTCAGCCCCAGCCCCACCCTCTTATCTGCCTCAGTTGGTCCCCTGCTGAGGCCACAGCTGTCCCAAGGGGCCTGAGCACCCCATGTGTAGGCTAGTGGGTTGAGGACAGGTGAGTGCCGTTGGTCAAGCCCCCAGCCAGCCTTCTTAGCAGTTTGGGACACCCACAGCTCCTTGTGCCATGAGGTGCCTTCAGGAAGGCAGCCAGGTGGCTGGCAGATGTGGGCAGGGGTGACTGGGGGACCTCCCTGGGGGAACGGGATGATGCCAGTGCTGTCCTCAGAGTCTGGGGCCTTGGCAAGCGGGACCCTGAGGCTGAAGAAGGGTGGGTCTGGGAGGGTGGCCCGGGTCCCTGGTGCGGTGGGCGGCTCAAGGGAAGTCCAGCTTACCTATCTCCCCGAGCCGATCCCACCTTCCAGAGCTTGGACCACCCTTGGTGGTGATGGTGGGCAGGGTGTGGGCCTGCGTTCAGTGCTGCTCTTCCTTGGGTGAGGGGCCTGGGGGACTGCAGGTGGCCTCTGTCCAATGGTGCCTCAAGAGTCCTGGCCGCCCCTTCCCCAGATCAGTGGGCAGCTCTCCCCTCGGCTCTTCCGGAAGCTGCCACCCAGGGTGTGCGTCTCCCTTAAGAGCATCGTGGACGAGGACTTCCTCTATGCAGGGTGAGGCTAAGGCCGGGCAGGGGGGTGGCTGGGTGGGGTGACAGGCTGGCCCTGACCTGGCCCATCTGCCCTGTGCCCCGCCAGACATATCTTCCTGGGCTTTTCCAAGTGCGGCCGGTACGTCCTCTCCTACACCAGCAGCAGTGGAGACGACGACTTCTCCTTCTACATCTACCACCTGTACTGGTGGGAGTTCAACGTGCACAGCAAGCTCAAGCTGGTAGGGCCAGGCTCGGCGCACAGCAGTGTGCCCCCCCAGGTCATGCCACCCCTCTGAGCCTCAGTTCCGTCTTCAGAAAATGGAGATAGTGTGCTCATTGGGTCAAGGCTCATGTTAGGTCAAACCACATGAAATTGCCGTTGTTAGAGTTGAAAATGGGTAAATAGCGGTAATTTTATGAGGTTCAACTCAGCATATACAGTCCATAGAACTCAGGGTCTACAGCTCAAGCCAGTGGGATCCAGTAGCTTTGTTATGACCAAGTGGGTTGCCACACTGGCTTTAGCCCTGACCTTGACTCCCCCAACCCCATCCCTACTCCAGGTGTGGGGGGTGCTGTTACCCCAGTTTACACATGAGCTCAGTGGGGTGGATAGGGCTTGGAAACCAATGCGTCTGGCCGAGTCCCCTCTGCTGGGACAGGGCTTCCTGGGCACATCCAGCCCTGGGTGCAGCCTTTCTGTTTCCCCCATTTGTGGACTGTCTCCCCAGCCTGTCCTCAGGAAGGCAGAGGGGTGCAGGCTGGAGGCTGCTTGGGACTCCCTGGCCTGAGACACCACCAGAGGGGTGCTTCTGCCGGCCTCCATTCCCGCCCAGCGTGCTCTCGGGTGGGCTCCTGTGGACCTCTGTCCGCTCTGACCCTGCACTGACACAAACGTGCCCCTCAGATCCGGCAGGTGCGGCTCTTCCAGGATGAGGAGATCTATAGTGACCTGTACCTGACTGTGTGTGAGTGGCCCAGTGATGCCTCCAAGGTCATCGTCTTTGGCTTCAAGTGAGACTCGAAGATGGGGAGGCTGAGGTTGGCTAGGGGAGGGCACACGGACCAGGCAGCTGAGGCTGTGCTTGCCCCCAGCACCCGCTCAGCAAATGGGATGCTCATGAACATGATGATGATGAGTGACGAGAACCACCGAGACATCTACATCAGCACAGTGGCTGTGCCACCATCAGGCCGCTGTGCCGCCTGCCAGGAAGCCAGCCGCGCCCATCCAGGTGAGGGACTTGGGGGCTTCAGAGCTCAGGCCACCTGCTTCCTTACTCCAGGGTGGCGACTGAGCCCATGGGTATGTGTTACTGCAGGTGATCCAAGCGCGCAGTGCCTGCAACATGGCTTCATGCTGCACACCAAGTACCAGGTGGTGTACCCCTTCCCCACCTTCCAGCCCGCCTTTCAGCTCAAGAAGGACCAGGTGGTACTGCTCAACACCAGCTACTCCCTGGTGGCCTGCGCTGTCTCAGTCCACTCGGCAGGTAGGCTCCCAGGTGTGATGACAGTCACAGCATCTGCTGTGAGCCCTGTCAGGTCAGTCCTGTCACTACCTTATGTGACAGGAAGAAACTGAGGCTTGGAGAGGTGCCTCATCCACAGTCACCCAGCCACAGAGTGGGAGTGCTCGGATCCAGACCCAGTCTCACCCCAGCAGTGTCCTCTCGAACAGTGGGCCTGGCATGTTCCCGTGTCTGTGTCCACGACAGCCGCCACCAGTAGAAACATGAAAGTGGCCCATGTGACCAAGGAACTGAGTGTTTGACTAATTTTAGTTATGTTTAAAGTCACATTTGGGCCCGGCCGGTGTGGCTCAGTGGTTGGTGTCGGCCTCTGAACCAGGAGGTCACAGTTTGATTCCCAGTCAGGGCACATGCCTGGGTTGCGGGCTTGATCCCCAGTGTGGGGCATGCAGGAGGCAGCCGATCAATGATTCTCTCTCATCTTGATGTTTCTATCTCTCTCTCCCTCTCCATTCCTCTCTGAAATCAATAAAAACATATTTTTTTTTAAAAAAGGAATGTCACATTTGGCCCGCAGCTATCATGCTGGACCACACAGTACTGCCTTCTCAAAAGGAGAACTGTTCATTCAAAACTTTAGGGAGTGGTGAGTGGGCAGAGGGCCCTCTTACATCGTTGGTAATCAGAAGGACCAGTGAAAATCAGAAGGTGATGTCCCTTGACAGAGTGGCAGTCGTTAGAAAGCTGGGTAATGCCACTGGCTTCTGGCTAGTGGAGCCCTGGTGGCTTTCCCCCGCACTCCCAGGGCTGCGTGGCAACAGAGTGTGACGTAGGCCCAGCAGCCCTGCGCCTGGGCATATCCAAAGCTGTGGTGGTGGGAGCTGGGGGCCACCTGGTGTCCATTTCTGGGGATGTGGGAGGCAACAATAGGGTGGATCTGCAGACCCAGTGTGAGCTCCAGTATCCTGTCCAGGGAGCATGTCTCAAAGTCATTTGCAAATGCAAAAGAAATACAAGCTCTATAACCGAATAACACATAAATTAGAAATGTTTCAATTTTGCAAGAATGCAGTCAAATAAAAAGGTGCCCGCTAACTATGTTAAAAGGGTCGCCCTGGGGCAGGAGACTGTGGGCGTGAAGAGTGGCCTAAGTGTCTAAAACGGCCCACACGTGCGCTCTCCCTCATGCCCTTCCCGTCCTCCCTCCTCTTCCCCTCAGGCCCGTTACCTTTGCCTCTCTCTCTCCTAAGCTCCAAAGACCCTTGTTTCCTGAGCCTGTGCAACCCCGCTGGCTCCCTTTACTACCTCTGTAACTTTCTAAACAAACTTTCTCTTAGCATTTGGAAAAAGAAAATGGAGCCCACAAACTAGCCAGGACCAGGGCATCTTGTGTCTGGCCCGTCAGAGGCCTCCCACCCCTGCCCTGGTCACCTGTGCCCATGTGGGCGAGGCCCAGCCCTGGTTAAGCTGCAATCCTCTAATGAGCCTGTCCTGGGTGGGGCTCCCTGCCCTCACGGTGTGGGTCCTGTTGGGAAGGACCATGTCAGACAGGACTCGGCCATGTGTACCAGCCAGGGGAGGGGCACTGTCACTGATGTCTAAACACTCATCTCACCAGAGGAGGGTATTTTCAGGGAGTTTTGACTTGGCCACTTTCTAGTGGACAGGAGTGCATTGATGGACTCAAATGACCTTGTGGTGTCCTGGACAAGTTTCTCTGAACTGAGAAGAACCACCCCACCCATCCCACCCTCCACCCCCTTTGCTGCTGGGGGCGGGTTCCAAAGGAGATGGTGCAGGCTGGGCACAGGGTCTGGCCTTGGTGCTGCTTAGTTCAGTGAGTGGTGGGGCTCTCGATGCCGAGCCGCCGGTCTGGCTCACTGGGGAGGATGGAGTGTAGTAAACTCTCAAACTTATGTGGCTTTTAAAAAAATCTTCACCCGAGGATGTGTGTTGTGTTTTTTTTTTGGTTAGAAAAAATATTAATTATTTATTTTAGAGAGAGAGGAAGGGTGGAGAGAGTGAGAAACAACGATCACTTGCCCCAGCGGGGATCAAACCTAGGTATGTGCCCTGACCAGGAATCGAACCTGCCACCTTTTGGTATATGGAACGATGCTCTAATCAACTGAGCTACCCTGCCAGGGCGTGGCTTTTTGTGTTTGTTTTGTGTTTTAAAGTTTTATTGATTTTTAGAGAGAGAGGAAGGGAGGAGGAGAAAGAGATACTCAACGTAAGAGCATTCGGCTGCCTCCTGCAGGTGCCCCAACCCAGGACCAAATCCGCAACCCGGGTGTGTGCCTTGACTGGGAATTGAACCAGCATCCTTTCCAAACCGAGCCACATGGGCCAGCGCTGTTTTCTTTTATTTATTTATTTATTTATTTATTATATATTTTATTGATTTTTTACAGAGAGGAAGGGAGAGAGATAGAGAGTTAGAAACATCGATGAGAGAGAAACATCGATCAGCTGCCTCCTGCACATCTCCCACTGGGGATGTGCCCGCAACCCAGGCACATGCCCCCGACCGGAATCGAACCTGGGACCCTTCAGTCCGCAGGCCGACGCTCTATCCACTGAGCCAAACCGGTTTCGGCTATTTATTTATTTTTTTATGTGGCTTTTATCTGCTGTCACCGTAGACTGTCAGCTCCTTTTCTGTCTTGTTCACTCGTGTCCTCGGTGTGTGGCATACAGTAGATGCTCACGAATCATAGAATGAACGTGTTCCTGTGCATATACATATAAGAGAGAGGCCTTTTAAAACTCTTCTGGGTGTTTCATACAGATCATAGAGCATAGGCTTTTTTAGAACCTCCCAGGGTGGGAGAGAGGCCTGTACTTGAGCTTTTGTTTTGACATTGGCTCATCCCAACACCTACATCTCTTTTTATATTCCAGGCGATAGCAGCTTCTGCCAAATCCTGTATGACCATACCACCTATCCTCCGGCCCCTCCCAGCCCCCCTGGGCCCCAGAGCCCAGAGGTGCCCCTGGCCCTCCCCAGCCTCTGTACCGAAGTGGCTCCAACCCGTCCCTCTGGGGTCCCTGAGCCCTCACCCGCCATCGCCAAAGCCAAGGAGTTTGTGGCCGACATCTTCCGCAGGGCCAAAGAGGCCAAGGGTGGGGCCTCAGAGGAAGCTCGGCCACTCTCCCACACGGGGCCCTCCGGCAGCTGCTGCCGCCCATCCTCTGAGCCTGTAGCCCCAGGTGGGGAGGTAGCACCCCAGGACAGCCCCCCTGCAGCGGAGGAGCCAGCTCCTGAGCCTGGCTATATCAACTACACGAAGCTGTATTACGTGCTGGGGTCTGGCGAAGGGACAGAGCCAGAGGATGGTGAGCAGGGAGTCCACCCAGCAGGCAGGGCCCCGAGCATGGGAGGCTGGTCCGGAGTGGGCCTCAGGCCTCCCACCACCCCTACCCCCTCTTCCTGCCCCTTCAGAGTTCGAGGATGACAAGATCTCCCTGCCTTTTGTGGTGACCGATCTCCGTGGCCGAAGTCTGAGGCCCATGCGGGAGCGGGCTTCTGTACAGGTAGGTGCTGGCAGCAGACAGAACCAGGGGCAGCCCCAGGGAGCCTGCTAGGGTAGTGCTGGGCACAGTCCTCCCTCTACCCCTCCGCCACTGCCCACAGGGTCAGTACCTGACAGTGGAGCAGCTCACGCTGGACTTTGAGTATGTCATCAATGAAGTCATCCGCCATGATGCCACCTGGGGCCACCAGTTCTGTTCCTTCAGCGACTATGACATCGTCATCCTGGAGGTGGGCCCAGGAGTGGGACAAAGCGGGTTCCGGACCTCTCTGCTCTGATGGTCATCCTCAGTAGCTGTCACCATCCACCCTCGTCCCCTAGGTCTGCCCTGAAACCAACCAGGTCCTGATCAACATTGGCCTGCTGCTCCTGGCATTTCCATCCCCAACTGAGGAAGGCCAGCTCCGGTGAGTGGGCAGGGGGCCACACTGAGACCCTTCTGTGTAGGAGAGTGGGGATGTGAGGAGACCCCCCTGGGCCCCCAAACTTGGATCAGGTACTCTGTTATTGCTCCAAAGACAGAGCCCCTTGAGGCAGCCTGGGTCCTCGTTCATGGACGTGGTGGTCCCACCCCTTTCTCCTCTGTTTTCCACCTGCCTGCAGACCAAAGACCTATCACACCAGCCTCAAGGTGGCATGGGACCTCAACACGGGCATCTTTGTGACAGTCAGTGTGGGCGATCTCATTGAAGTCAAAGGGCAGACCAGGTAAGGCTGGGCTGAGGCCAGGGCCTGGGGTGGGTGCCAGAGTGATGAGATCCTCACCCTTTTGCCCTCAGCGGCAGTGTCTGGAGCTCATACCGCAAGAGTTGTGTGGACATGGTCATGAAGTGGCTGGTGCCCGAGAGCAGCGGCCGCTACATCAACAGGATGACTAACGAGGCACTGCACAAAGGTAGGCACTATGACCAATGATAGTAGGACGGGGTTATCCCAGTGCCAGGCAGGCCTGGAGGAGACCCTGACTCCTGTGCTGCTGAATGGACGAGCATGATGGCTGTGCTAGTGGATGGCGTGGAAGAGGGGTGAGGGGAGGGCAGCCTAGCCAGGCATGCCGGGGGGCCAGCTCAGAGGGCATGACAGGTGTGGCACTGGAGACCTCCAGCCAGTTGCTTATTTACTCAGCAGACATTTATTGGGTGGCTGCAGGCAGGAGGCAGAGCTAACACAGCAGGGTCCCTGCCTTCCAGAACCTTCTGGGCCCAAATCAGGTCTAGGAAAGAGGGAAACTCATCTCACAGCTGGGCCTTCAGAGACTCCTCTGTCCCAACCCTTCCCCACAGGGTGCTCACTGAAGGTTCTGGCAGACAGCGAGCGATACACATGGATTGTGCTGTGAGGGTCTGGCCGGCCTGGACACTGACTCCAACTACCTCCGCGGCCTGGGAGCTGGCCGCCTTCCTGGCAGCCTCTTCTTGGTTGGCTGGCCGCCCAACGACCGCCACTAGTGTTAGGCTGTGGGAAGGGGGCTGGGCGGGGCAGCCCCTGGTGGCCTGAGAGTCTGGATGCTTCTTATTTATGCCTATTTAAGTTGGGAAGGGGCAGAGGGAGGGAGTCCCCTGCCCCACCAGCCTCGAGTGCCTGCCTTTATCCTGCACGGGGCATGGGTCTTTGCTCCTTGTGTATTTTCCCCTTCCCAGGTTACAGGTGTGGACATTGCCCCCTGGGAAGCTGAACAGACCCTGATTCCTGCCCCCAGCCTCTCCGACCTGAGATGGCCAACATCGTGGTCAACCCCCGCCCCCCTGTTACTCCTCTTCATGTAATAAATGTTTTATTTCTGAACCTGAGTTCCCTTTCCTGCGATCAGGGCAGCTGGAGCCCCAAGGTCCTCGTGTCCTCATCCCAGCCCCCGGCAAGGCCCTCAAGTCAGCAGTAGCCAAATATCACAGCGGAATTTATTGTTTTAAGAAAGACTACAAAAAGGTAGAAAACGCTTGGCACACTAGACTACCACACTTTCACTGCTGGGAGGGAGGCCAGAGGGCATGGAGGGGAGTGGGTGACCACCCCAAAAGCTTGCAGCACTGCGGAGCACACAAAATAGTGATTTTTATACAATAGGTCAGGTTTTTTTCTTTTTTTGTGTGTGATTTTTGCCATAAACATCTATCTCACAGGTTGAAAACACTGAGAAAACCGAACAGATAAGGCCATGATGGTTGGAAAAAAACCCAAGTTACCGACTCCGCTTGGGCGGCACTCACAAATCGCACAATAGTCATGTGGGGGGCGGGCACACGGCAGGGAGAAGCACAGAGGTTCCATTACAAACCAGCCAGCGGCAGGATTGGTGGGGGAAATGGGGGGTGGTCTTGGATCTGAGCGAGCGGAGCCCAGGCCTTGAGGGCAGGCTACTTCTGGGCCCAGCTGCCCGCAGCAGGCCCCTCTGGGCTCTGGCACCAGGCCCAGCCCACTGCTCTTTGGAAGCTGGAGGCAGTGCCCCCTGCAGCCTTCCCTAGAGCCAGGCTGCCTTCCCCAGAACTAGGCCGGGCAGTGCCCCCCTCTAGGGCTGTGGGGCAAGGGAGAACCCAGCTCTGGAGAAGATGCGACACCCACGGCTTTAATTGCACTTATACCAAGGAGGAGGGAGCAGTGGGGTTGCTGGGGAAGGGGTTCCGGGGCTGCTGCTGACAGTGGGGGGATCCCTAGGTGATGCCCACCTGTGCCCACCCGGGGCTCAGGGCTGGGCCCAGGACAGGCTGTGCAAAGCCAGCGAGCTGAATAAGTTAACAGGGGAGGGGGCCTGCCTGCCTGCCCCCTGAGGGGGGGGGAGGG